GAAAGTTAATATATATTTTTTGTTAGAATTGACACCCAAACAAATACTTAGGTGATTTGTAAATGCTGACTATGTCCTCATGATATTCATATAATCTTGGTGTATCTGTGTTTCAGTTACCTTCAACTCTATATGTAAGAACAGTATATCACATTAAGTTAGTTTTATTCTTACAAACTAATTCATCATCAGTATTGCATGCAGTAACCAAATTAAAAATAACCTGTACCTCTAAAAGTTGAATTTTTATAGGTGGTTCTTGCTCCACATATCATAATTTGACAAATTTCCGGTAAACATAACATTACCAACTTTGGTGTGAGTTTATTTCATCTACGTTAGATATTATTTTTCATTTCAGATTAATGTCTGCAAACAGTATCCCAAATTTTTGAAATTTCTATTATGTTAACAAGTTTTAAGATGACAGAAATTTCTAGAAACATTATCTGTGAATTCTTTTTTTATCTAAAAATATGTGAACAATTTCACTATAATTCTTTCATGATACTACTAAACTTATTTATACGTGTTAGCTCAGAAGGTTACAGTTTCCGTCCATTTTTGAGTTTAGCCATGGTTAGAATTGTGTGATAACTATCTTGATTTTTCAAAGCGGTATCCTAGGAATAATGTTTACTGTTGACATCATTCATCATGTTAGTGTTAGAAAAAATGTGGCATTGGTTTCAGTTTCAGTGATTTATTTGAATACTACTGAAAAAATCATTACTTGAAATAAAGGAAATTCTAATGCTTCTACTCCTATAAATTAAGGTATATCGAACCAAATCATTCATGATTTTGTTTTAGTTCGAATTTGATTTGACAACATTATGTTCGACCGTTACCTAATAAAATATTGATTACAATTCTATGTTACCTCAATTAATATGTGAAATACTTTCTGAACAAGATATTAAGTGAAAGGAGACAGTGTAAGATAGTGAGGTATTTGTGTTATTAGTTCACTGTTTCAAGTACATATTTGTTCCCCATCCAGATATTTCTGAAATATAGTGAATATAATTTCTCCTTTCCATTTGAATTTATACAAACCCATAGAAAATAAAGCATCAGTATTGTCCAAGAATTGGACTTCGTGCTTTGAAACCGTTAAAATGAATCGCCCACTGGTTCTTTCATATTCAATAACTAATCATTATATAACATTTTAATATTCTAAATGAAGCTAGAATTTTGATAAAAAAACATTGATTTTCATTACTTTTGATAAACTACAAGTATTCATTTTGATTAATTATATCTACAAATTATAATATTTCTCACTTATAACTATTTACATAAAATCAACTACTTGTGTTGATTCCAACAGGACAGTTATTTTAAAATTTATGCTGATCTCAGCGTTGAACAAACTTGATAAACACCAACCGCTGTTAATCATCATTTTGTTAAGATAAAACTTGAAGCAATTTACTTTGGGTTCCTAAAGTTTTTTCCCACAGTGAAGTTTGCTTTTCACATTAACTGGCATTATACTTTGAATTTTCTATCTCTTGATGATGTTTTGTTAGGAGATAATTTTTTTAACAGAATGAAATTGTTTTCTTTGAAAAGAATATTGTTTTTATATACCAAATAGATATAAAACACGAAGAAATCATTGATAAAACTTAATATTTTGCATTTTCTTGACGTCCTGAAGAATGTTCTCATCAACATACTACTACGATTAAATTAAATTCTTAAGTAGTAGTAATAAAATACATGTAATAGAGAAAAAAAATGATGAAATATTTCCAAGAGTTGACCTACGACTAGCTGATTGTTACCGTTCATAACACAGTAAATTTTAATAAATATAACTTGCTAATAAACATATTTGATGTCGGCGGGATCGACGAAAAAAAAACGGAGTAACTCACAAGGCTGTCAACTGTATATTTGTACAGAGTTAGGAAAGGACCGATTCGGTCTCGTGTGCTTTAATGTGTATGAAGGCGGTTGTCACTTCCCGGCTGCCCACACCGTGGAAGAGTGTTTCTTGAGGAACCTGAAAAATAAAGTTGATTGGCGTTGGTCTTAACGACCTGGGAGCGTGACCGCAGAGCCAAGGGACAACTGCTTGAGGCCGGTCACTACGGCCTTTTTATGAAAGGTTTTTTGATTATTAGCTTATATCTCTGTGCTAACGTGGTATGGCAACTTGGGCCGTTGTACTTACGTGCAAAGTTCTACGTTGCTGTTAATGATGTTGATGATGTACAGAGTTATGAAATAAAAGGTAAAAAGACCAAAAACCAGACAAAAATGAAATAGTAAAAAGAAATTGAATGAAAAACCAAAAAAAGCTTATGTCATCACGTGCTCTGTGCATGTAAATTTAGTGATGAAAGTAAAAATAGTAATCACTCTGGGGTGATTTAATTTTTGTATTTAATTAGAAAAATGTGTACATCATAAAAACTGTTCACAATTTCAGTACGCTTCAATTTACAACTACTTAAAAAATATTCAAACAATCCGTCTTCGTTTCCTATGGAAGTAAATGAACGATTCAAAGAAGTATTAAGAAATAGTCAAACAAATCTTAGCATTGAAAGCAATTAGGGAGTAAATCTAAAATGATTCAATCAGAATGCAAATGTTATACAAGAGCTTATGGTTGTACTTAAAGGAAATACAGAGCAAAATTAAGTCTTTTCCGAATGGTTTATTTAGGTTAGTACTCAGAACTGATGCAATAACTATTCGTTATCTATGAAAACAATCGCTAATTTAAAGTATACGAGGTAAAAAAATTACCAATAAAACGAAATATGTTGATAAATGTGTTTGTAGCTGATTTGGACTAAGAAGGCCATATTCGTTTTTTGTAATACTTACTTTGTGATTGTTTTAAGCTTACGTAAAGCACATCTAAATCTGACTGAAGTCATAGATCCATGATGTTAATTTCTTCTGGAAATTTAATAAAAACTACATTAAAGTTACATTCGAACAATGCATGATATATTATATAATATCAACGAGTTTATAGTGAATATTGAATATTTCCATAATACCGCTTGTAATTAAGTAAAACTGTTTATCACTTGGTCTAATAAACTTCTGTGATCACTTTGTTGACACAATAAATACCTTTAAACTGTCATAAATAAATTTAGGCACTTCATCATCATCAGAGTCTCTAATTTAAGCATACTTTTTAACGAATATTCTGAAACCTTTATGCTTGAATTACTTTTAATTGATTAATTTAGATTTTAAGAGGCTATTCACTGTGTAAAAATTATGCAAAACTAGTTATTTTTCGTGCATGAAACCCAAAAAAAATAGATGGAAGAAATGTTTCATAAACAAACTTGATGCTTGCGTTAGTGAATATTTCCAGCATTTGGACAGATTACACATGGAGTGCAATAACAGTATTTATTATAATATTCAAAGCTTCCAAACTTGTTTTTTTTTTCTTTACATAAAATAGTCATTGAAAGTTCTTCTAGTTAAATTGTTGTACATTACAGTGGAACAATAACAGAAAATAAAAATAAAAATTTATTTTCATAAATTGAATTGTCTGCAATATTTGGAAATTATTTTATGAACACACGCACGTTGCTCGAGGTATAACACAGATTTTAAATTATCCACCATATGATACATATATATATATGAAAACAGAGCCTATTATGTAACAAAACATTGACTTATTTCCGCCTATCTTAATGTGGTAAAATCAAGCTGTGTTGTTTTACAACTATTCATGTCTGTGTGTTTAATGCATTCATAGT